TGGAATATTGCTGCACACTACAGCACCTTTCAAGGCAGGTGAAATTGCCGACCTAGAAAATGTACAGAGAACTTTCACGGCGCGCATAACGGAGATAAAACACCTCAATTATTGGGAGCGCCTGAGGTTCCTAAACCTGTATTCCCTGGAACGCAGGAGGGAGAGATACATGATTATATACACCTGGAAAATCCTAGAGGGACTAGTACCGAACTTGCATACGAAAATCACTCACTACGAAGCAAAAGACTTGGCAGACGATGCACCATCCCCCAATGAAAAGCAGGGGTGTCACTAGCACGTTAAGAGACCATACAATAAGTGTCAGGGGCCCGAGACTGTTCAACTGCCTCCCAGCACACATAAGGGGGATTACCAACAGACCCCTGGCAGTCTTCAAGCTGGCACTGGACAAGCACATAAAGTCAGTTCCTGATCAGCCGGGCTGTGGCTCGTACGTTGGTTTGCGTGCAGCCAGCAGCAACAGCCTGGTTGATCAGGCTCTGATCCACCAGGAGGCCTGGTCACAGACCGGGCCGCGGGGGCGTTGACCCCCGGAACTCTCTCCAGGTAAACTCTAGGTACTATCTCTCTCTGTTTTTTGATCAATTGTTTTGCCATTACTAGCAGCTTTATTTTGAATTTTGTCTTTTAAACATATCCCTGAGGTATCACGGTAATAACTGCTATTTTTATCCCTAATGCTGCAGCCTGATTGTTTCTCACTAACACCCATACCTCTATAATCTATCAGTTTAATTCCTACACAAGTCATCAATTACCCTCTCAGTAGAATTGGGTAATGCAACCACTCCATCTCCAGAGAGAAGAACCCCATCCCTTGCATACATATCACGTTTGCCAAATAATAGGTCCCAGTAATCAATGAATGGGATTGCAAGTTCCTTGCAGTACCTGTCTAGCCATCAATTTATACCAATTGCCCTAGACATCCATTCATTGCCCACTCCCTTTCTAGGCAAGATGCTACATATGACTGGGATCCCTCCCTTAGACCTAGCTACTTCTATGGCTGACCTTTACTTATCCAGCAGCTCCTCTCTCCTGCCCTTCCCAATGTTATTACCCCCAGCACTAAGACAGATAATGGGCTTGTTCCCATTACCTGCCATAATATTATCCAACCTGCTGTCTACGTCACCAACACCAGCCCCAGGAACACACACTCTCTGTCTGACCTTTCTGTCTCTGTTACAAAATGCACGGTCCATATATCTTACCTGAGAATCGCCTACTATTAAAGTATTCTTACCTTGATTAGCAGGGGAATCAGTGGTACCTTCAACCTCACTAACCACTGATGTACATTCGTCTTGGAGAACAGATAATCGATTTCCTACCTTCACATCTTCTCTATTAACTCTCCTCTTCTTCCTTCTTCCCGAACTGTGAACCACTTGCCACTTAAAGCTGCTGCCACTATTACTGCTGGTGACCATTTCCTCCTTACCAGCTAAATCCTTCTCAATCTCAAACTCATCTATGTGACGCTTCAGCCTCCTACTTTCCTCCTAAAGTAGAATCTCCTTCTTCAACACTTGAACCTGAGATTCTAAAACACTACAACAAGCCATGGTGCTTGGTAACAGCCCACGCGAACTCCCAAGAGCTTAGGCAGGTATGACCACACGTCACCACTGACCTCAGCATACTGAAGTGATGCAAGGAGGGAGGAGCATACAGAGAGAAAAAAGAAAGGTTAAGAGAGTGATGAAGGAATGTAAAAAGAGAGCAAATGAGAGAGTGGGTAAGATGTTATCAACAAATTTTGTTGAAAATAAGAAAAAGTTTTGGAGTGAGATTAACAAGTTAAGCAAGCCTAGGGAACAATTCGATTTGATAGTTAAGAATAGGAAAGGAGAGTTATTAAATCGAGTGTTGGAGGTATCGGGAAGATGGAGGGAATATTTTGAAGAATTGTTAAATGCTGATGAAGATAGGAAAGCTGTGATTTCTTGTATAGGGCAAGGAGGAATAACATCTTTTAGGAGTGAGGAAGAACCAGTTGTCATTGTGGGGGAAGTTCGTGAGGCAGTGGGTAGAATGAAAGGCGGAAAGGCAGCTGGGATTGATTGGATAAAGATACAAATGTTAAATACAGGAGGGAATATAATTTAGGAGTGATAATGTTTTTATTTAATAAATTTAAAGAAGAGGGTAAGGTACATAGAGACTGGCAGAGAGGATGCATAGTTCCCTTGTATAAAGGCAAAGGGGAAAAAAAGAGTGTAAAAATTATAGGGGAATATGTCTCTTGAGTATACCTGGTACAGTGATCGTAGAGTTATTATTGAAAGAATTAAGAGTAAGAAGGAGAGCAGGAAGGCAGATGAACAAGGAGACTTTAGGATGGGTAGGGGGTGTGTAGACCAAGCTTTTACAGTGAAACATTTAAGTGAAGAGTATTTAGATAAGAATAAAGAGGTGTTTGTGACATTTATGGATTTGGAAAAGGAGTGTGATAGGGTGGATAGGGGGGCACTGTGGCAGATGTTGCAAATGTATAGACTAGAAGGTGAGTTACTGAAAACAATGAAGAGTTTTTACGAGGATAAGTGAGGCTCAGGTTAGAGTATGTAGGAGAGAGCGGGAGATTATTTTCCAGTAAAAGTAGGCCATAGACTCGGATATGTGATGTCACTATGGTTGTTCAATATATTTATAGATGGGGCTGTTTGAAAAGTGAATGCTCGTGTGTTGGCAAGAGGTGTGGGGTTAAAAGGTAAAGAATCTAACAAAAGTGGGAGTTGTCACAGTTGCTCTTTGCTGATGACACAGTGCTTTTGGAAGATTCTAAAGAGACGTTGCAGAGGTTCGTGGATGAGTTTGGTAGGGTATGTAAAAGAAGGAAATTAAAAGAGAATATAGGAACGTGTAAAGTGATGAGGATAAGAAAAAAATTAGGTAACGATAGATTGGAAATCAGATTGGAGGGGGAGAGTATGGAGGAGGTGAAGGTGAATATTCAGATATTTGGGAGTTGACATGTCAGCAGGTGGGTATATGAAAGATGAGGTGAATCATAGAATTGACGAGGGGAAAAATGTGAATAGGGCACTGAGGAGTCTGTGGTGACAAAGAACTTTGTCCTTGGAGGCAAAGAGGGGATTATGTGATAGTATAGTTATACCAACACTTTTATATGTTGCAACAAGGAGAAGGCTTGATGCAGTGAACATGTCATGTCTGAGGGCAATGTGTGGTGTGATTATAATGCAGAGAATCCGTTATTTGGAAATTAGGAGGAGGTACGTGATTACCAAAACTATTATCTAGAGGGCTGAGGAGGGGTTGTTGAGGTGGTTCAGACATGTAGAGAGGGTGGAAAGAAATAGTGTGTATAACTCTGTAGTGGAAGGAAGGAGGGGTAGGGGTCAGCCTTGGAAAGGTTGGAGGGACGGGGTTCAAGGAGGTTGTGTGTGCCAGGGGCTTGGACTTCCAGCAAGCATGCCTGAGCATGTTAGGAGCGAATGGAGACAAATGGTTTTTAGGACTTAACGTGCTGTTGGAGTGTGAGCAAGATAACATTTATGAAGGGATTCAGGGAAACCGGCAGGCCCGACTTGTGTCCTGGAGATGGGAAGTACAGTCTCTGCAATCTGAAGGAGGGGAGTTAATGTTGCAGTTTTATAACTGTAGTGTAAGTGCGCCTCTGGCAAGACAGTGATGAAGTGAACGATGAAAGCTTTTCTGTTTCGGGCCTCCCTGCCTTGGTGGGAGACGGCCGATGTATTGATGAAAAAAATTAGATAAGCTGATGTTCTGGAGAAGGGTACAATCAGAGTGCTGCTTGGCTGCAACAAAAATCTTGCAACCTCTGCTGTCGAGCAGATGCTAGATACATCGAGATGCTGTAAGTTTCTTGGCCGCCTTATTTGCAAGATTTGCAACGTGGTTCTTCATGGTTCCTCAGTTTAGAGTCAAATTTCACTCCAAGGATAGCAACTTCCTCTGCGGGTATCAACACACTCCCATTCATACTTACTACTGCTCCGGCATTACAATCATGGTGCCTGGAGGCCATCATCATTTGTGTTTTCTCACGAGCAAATGTTAACTGCCATCGTTTTTCCCAGGCCGATATAGCTGTAAGCTGGCGACTGATCTAACATAGAGCTGGCATTTCCTCTCTTGTATAAGTAAATGTCACAGTACAGCCGTGTGCATATGCATGGAGTTCTGGGATGAGATGAAGGTCATGGAATTAGACATTCCATAACAATAGCCCAAGCACTATTCCAAGTGGAACACTTGCACAAAAATGATGTCTTGGGTCCCTAGTGTCATACTCGGTCGAAAGCACCAGCAATGTCCAGTACTACTACACAGCTGACTTTGGATTCATCCAGTGTTTGGTACCACTTAGTTGAGAGGTTTAACAACAAATCAGCAGGAGAGTAACTTTTTCTAAAGCTATACTGACGGTCAAAAAGAAGTGAGTTGTAGTCGAGAAACTCTGTTATCTGCAGTGATATTATTGTCTAACTAATCTTGCCAGTGGTTGACAGGAGTTACACTGGTCTTTAGTTGCTGATTTCTGCTCTGCTCTATTTTTTTGCGAACAGGGACAACATTTGCCTCTTTCCATAGAGAAGGCCATTTACACTGTGCTAGGCAGTACTTACAGATGTGGGTTAGAGGTGCTGCTAGCTGGTCTGCACATCTACTTAGTAATCTTGGGCTCAACTTTTCTGGACCCACAGCCTTTTCTTGCTCATGCTAGTTAAAGATAAGATACATTTCATCCTGCCTTATTGCTACGCTAACAACTTTGACACAGTTCTTGCAGCTAGCTATGTTAGGCCCCTTGCTGGATCAGCAACTTGCATCTTGGCAGCAAAGTGTTCTGTAAAGATGTCAGCTTTTACCTGACTGCTAGAAGAGTTGGTCCCATCCTATCGATGTAGAAGTTTAATTATTTCATCAGGTGAATAACCTTGTCGGTCCTTGACCAAGGACCAACGAGTTTTGAAGCCCACCATTCCTAATGCCAACTTTCTTTTTGTCAGCCTCCCATTTCCAGATGGCCCACTTATGGAGTTCTCCCATTTGCCTACAGGCTTGCCTGCGGAGGGATGTCTCTTATACGTTATCCAAGCCTTGTACTTAGCAGTAGCAGTCTCTCTACAACGAAAGCCAAATCAAGGATGATCAGTAGGCTTCGTCACATACTGCGGATGAGGGATGTGTTCTTGCTGGAGATTAAGTGTGTTCAGTGAAGTCATTCATTTGGTTCTTGACATCACCTTGGAGAAGAGCATTCCAACTAGAGGTGGCGAGCTCAGAGCAAAGAGCTAGACAGCATTCTCTTTCCCACAGTCTTGTTGAACTTGTAGATTGTTCACCTCGTTCTGTTGGACTCTTTAGTGTCGTAAAGACGGTCTTGTGGTCAGATGATCAACATAGCCAAGGGGTTGGGGAATGACTATGCCTTCTGACAGATCACTTACTACTTGGTCGAGGGAAATGAAAGTAGAGAAACCAACAAAGTTTCTCATGTTAAACACTGCAAGAAGGTCATCAAGTCCCTCGATATAAGATGTTGGTTGAGGTCACCAACAGTTATAATATGTTACCACATTTTCCATCAGCAAGTTGATGAGGTCTTCATAGCGTGAAGAACATCATTTCTAGGTGAATGGGATGGCAGCATCAATGGGCTTGATGCTGCCATCATGAGAAGTACACAACAATACCTCCTCCTTGTCCTTGCCTGTCTCATCTTATCCATGAGATATAGCCCTCAATTCTAGCACAATTTTCTAGAGTCCTGTCGTCCAAAAATGTCTCAACAACAGCGATCATGTCGGGACGTCGAGCGTTCATGAAACTGTGCTTGAGCTCTCCAACATTGATAATGAAGCCTCTAATGTTGGCCAACAGGATGCTCAGAGAATGGATCCTCATGACTGTGTTGGTGGGTGTGTAAGGTGCCTGCCCTTGAGATAGGACACCGGGGCTGCCTCTGGGATGTAAGTCTATGGTCTTGTATAAGGCACGAAAACACCTGCTGAGCCGAGATAGAAGTAGCTAGGTGGGTGACGTGTGAGTGTGCTCACTAATTCAGATATCCTGCTGGTTTGTTCTGAGAACAGATCTCTAAAGAACTGATGATCCTTTCTGTCAAATTCCTCTTGCTTACAACAGTAATCCTGATGTTCCTTCTTGTGGCAGTAACTGCACCTGGTATCTCGCAGGCAGTTGTTAGTGGTGTGTCCCCTCCGGTGACAGCGAGAACACTGCCTAGGTGTCTGTTAGAGTGGACTCCTCTTTCCTGCACCTCTTGTCTTTCGCTGCTGATTCAACAACTGATTTCTCTGTAGGTTTTGCAGTGAATAGGCCTGATGATCATGTACCTGGTAAGCGTTTTCCTGGGACTGTTGGTGGAAGGTCAGACGGTGGCTGTGGGTGTTTACCTCCTTCTCTTCCACACCCTTTCCTTAGTTCAATGCTGATTACGTCTCATCCCTGTATGTGCTCTGTAATCTCTAGGAAAGAGGTAAAAGCGGTATTTAGTGTTAGGGACTTGAGCATCCAGCAGGCTCGTAGAAGTACATTAGTGACCTCGTCCAGTTTTATTAGATATGTCTCTGTTGTACGTGCTTTGGCATAGCACTTCTGCAGATGCAGTGTTGGTCGCCTGATTATTAGCTGTACCAATCTCCACTGGAGAAAATCATGACTCAGTATTAGCAGATGGAGCACTGCTGCCAGGTGTACAAGCAGGTTTTATAGCAGTGATATTAAGTGTACTGTCAGATGTACTGGCAGGTGTTAAAGCAGTGATGTCAGGTGTACTGGCAGGTGTTAAAGCAGTGATGTCAGATGTACTGGCAGGTGTTAAAGAAGTTTGCTTCGTTGCTGAGTGATGGATTTGCTCCCTCTGCGGTGGTCAAAGAAATTGTATTAGAATTTTCATATACAGTGTTTTTAGCCCTGTTTATCTTTGAAGTCCTGGTGATGATAGAATTCCACCAGGTATTTGGTACTGGGCTGATCTCAGTATGAGTCTTCCAGTCCTTGTCAGCAGTGTCAGCATTAGCTGATGAGCTTATGTCACTTGATGTAGGATTGCAGTGGCCTTTTGCAGTAACTTGGAGCAAGTCTAATGATTTGAGAAGCTCATGGAGTGCTTCCCTGCAGTGGATTATCTAAACTGCAACTTTACAACACAGCCCATTACGGCAGTCTTGATTATTTGAAAGTCCATGAAGTTTCTACATGTCACAGGATCCAAGATATCTTTCAAGCTACCTTGGTACAACTAAAGACTTCCTCCGTCATGCAGTCTGTGTAATATTAGTTGGGACAGTTCACAGACACTGCAGTAACTGGGATAACAGCCAGATAGCGAAGATATCTTTGTTATTTTGCGATGTGAAGTTATCTGAGAGAAACGTTAGTAAGATAACAATGAAGTTGTCTTTACACAAGTGTTTTACAAGCTAGGAGCTGTTACCTACATCAGCTTATTTTAAAGCATTTCTCATTGTTAGGAAACATTCGAGAAAAGGGAAGAGGGTGAAATTGGAGCCACTGAGGGCCAGCAATTTCATTTAGTCAGTTGACTTTATTTCGTTTGTGCCATTATGTACTCTCTCTCTCTCTCTCTCTCTTTTTTTTTTTTTTTTTTTTTTTTTTACACAGGGTTTGACAAGGTTAGGTTGAGGATCCCTAGCTTTATTGACAAGCTATTTACAGGTTAAGGATTCCTAACTTTATTGGCAAGCTAAGAGCTGTTACCTACATCAGCTCATTTGAAAGCATTTTTATTGTTATGAGACATACAAGTAGGGAACAGGATGAAGTTGGAGCCATCTGTGGGCCAGCATTTTCATTTGATCAACTGACTTTATCTCGTTGATATCATTATGCTGTACGAATGTGTTCCATACTCGAGTCATCCTGGGTATATAGTATCTCAGATGCAGTGATGTTCTGGAGAAGGGTGCAGCCAGAGTGAAGTTGCTGCTTTCTGCCCTTCTTGTGGCATAAAAGCTTTTTTCACGCTGTTCTCGAAGTGGATCCAAGTGTGGTACTTTGACAATATTGGCCTTGTGCATAACAGTAAGGCCACCCACATCCCTCCTATGTTCAAGGCTCTGCTGAAATGACAGATCTATCCAGGATGGGTTCAGGCGAGAGATGAGACGTCTTGCTCTGTTCTCTACTCTGTCAAGCAGTCGCAGATAAGGGGGGGGGGGCAGGCAAACCAAGAAAGTGGAGCATACTCAAGGTGTGAGCGTACTTGTGCCTCGTACAGGATCTTGCAACCCCTACTGTCAAGCAGATGCGAGATACGGCGAAGTGCTGTAAGCTTCCTGGCTGCCTTGTTTGCAAGATTTACAACATGATTCTTCATGGTTAGTTTGGAGTCAAATTTCACCCCAAGGATATCAACTTCTTCTCCAGGTGCCAACACCCTCCCATTCATCCTTACTACTGCACTAGCATTACCATCATGGTGCCTAGAGACAATCATCATTTGCGTTTTCTCAGGTGCAAATGTTACTTGCCATCTATTTCCCCAAGCTGATATAGCTCTCAGCTGGTGATTGATGTAGCTTAGAGCAGCTGGCATTTCTTCTCTTGGATAAGTGAATGTCAGTGTACAGTCGTCTGCATATGCATGTGATTCTGGGATGAGATGAAGAAGGTCGTTGAAGTAGACATTCCATAACAATGGACCCAGCACGCTTCCTTGTGGAACACTGCCCCAATAGGATGTCTTGCTGATTCCGTTTCATTGAGAACTACACTTAGAGATCTACCATGAAGGTAATCACTGAGGAGACATAGCGTAGAGCCTGCAATTCCCAGTGCTTGAAGTTTTGATAAGAGGCCCTGGTGCCACACCCGGTCGAAAGCGCCAGCAATGTCCAGTGCTACCACACAGCTGACTTTGGATTCATCCAGTGACTGGTGCCACTTAGTGGAGAGGTTTAACAACAGATCAGCAGCATAGTAACCTTTCCTGAAGCCATATTGACGATCACAAAGTAGTGAGTGGTAGTCAAGAAACTCTGTCATTTGTCTTGAGATTATTGTCTTAAGTATCTTACCAGTGACAGGAGTGACTCTCTCTCTCTCTCTCTCTCTCTCTCTCTCTTTCTCTCTCTCTCTCTCTCTCTCTCTCTCTCTCTCTCTCTCTCTCTCTCTCTGGTATTATTTTTGAGTTACTGTGTTATTTTATATGCAAATCTTTTAATCTCTTTATTTCAATAATGTTTCCCAACCCCTAAAAAAGGTTATCTGTGCAGATAAAGGATTTTACATAGCAAAATAAATACACACACACACAAACACTTATATATATATATATATATATATATATATATATATATATATATATATATATATATATATATATTATATATAATATATATATATATATATATATATATATTTTACTTTATTTTTATTTTTTTAATTAGCACACTGGCCGATTCCCACCAAGGCAGGGTGGCCCGAAAAAGAAAAACTTTTACCATCCATTCACTCCATCACTGTCTTGCCAGAAGGGCGCTTTACACTACAGTTTTTAAACTGCAACATTAACACCCCTCCTTCAGAGTGCAGCACTGTACTTCCCATCTCCAGACTCAGTCCGGCCTGCCGATTTCCCTGAACCCCTTCATAAATGTTACTTTGCTCACACTCCAACAGCACGTCAAGTATTGAAAACCATTTGTCTCCATTCACTCCTATCAAACACGCTCACGCATGCCCGCTGGAAGTCCAAGCTCCTCGCACACAAAACCTCCTTTACTCCTTCCCTCCAACCTTTCCTAGGCCGACCCCTATCCCGCTTTCCTTCCACTACAGACTGATACACTCTTGAAGTCATTCTGTTTCGCTCCATTCTCTCTACATGTCCGAACCACCTCAACAACCCTTCCTCAGCCCTCTGGACAACGGTTTTGGCAATCCTGCACCTCCTCCTAACTTCCAAACTACGAATTTTCTGCATTATATTCACACCACTTATTACCCTCAGACATGACATCTCCACTGCCTCCAGCCTTCTCCTCGCTGCAGCATTCATCATCCATGCTTCACACCCAT